GAATTATTTCAATTCTCACTTCAACATAACAAACGTCTCCAACCATGCATATCTTGATTTTCCTACAAGAGAGTTGTTGAATAAATCATTGTTTCGGAACAAGAATATCATCTCTTTCGTTATATACAAACAAATTATTTTCTTGGACCAATGCAGTCATGCTTAATACAAGAGATTCTTTTTTTGTGTGTAAGTGAAATAGTTCCCGTAGGTAATTCCTCCTCGGGTAATTCAAAGACTGTTTCCAGGAGTGGGTTTTGTAATTCTCATGAAAGTGGAATGGAATTATTCCGTGAATCTATGGCGAGATGAGGTTTCTACGTCCTAAGAGGGTCCGTTTTCAGAAGGTATTATAATTTTCGAGATAAATTATGTCCAAAAATAAAACATTCCAGTTAATTTTTCGATCGAATTATGTTGTCAATCATTATTTATGTATAAAAGGATCATTATAAACAAGGTTTGAGTTAAAAGTTCTACTAAGGTGTACACACCCATTATATCATATTCCGAAGGTGCATTTTTAGATTCTCCCTGAAAAGCTGCTTTCATCAATGCATCACACTTGTTGTCTAGCGGGAATGATTACAGAAATAAAGGGTGTTCAAAATCGAGATTTTTTAACTTTATGATTTTTGTGTGTCGAAGCCTCGGTCGAAGCTATTCATTATCGGTCAAAACGGCTTTCATGTCCCTATCTTATAACTTTTTATTCACTATCTACTCACATTAAATTGGTACAAATACAGGGTGGTTCAAGATTCAGAATTCTGATCACCTTGTATCTGTTCCAATCGAATGTCAGTAGATAGTGAATCAAAAGTTGAGATAGGGCCATGAAAGCCGTTTTGACCGATGATGACTCAGATAATGAAGTTCCGACACAAAAAATCCTACATTGATGAAAGCAGCTCTTCAGGGAGAATCTAAAATTGCAATGAAATACAGGGTGTTCCATTTGAAAATCGAAAGTTGATGCCCGTTACGCTTCAAGGTTTCCACTTTAGAATATGATAATTGCAGAAAAATGTGTTGCCCGCCGAATTGAAATCGACCTATTCGAGCAATTTTCAATTTTTTTAACGACATCGGAGATTTGGGGGTGAAAAGTTTCAGCTAGGACACACTGTATAATAGAGATCACTGGTTTTCAAACCCTATATGTGCAGCCTATAACTTGCTTATTAAAACAGCAGCAGTTGCATTACCTCTCAAATTGATTCATTAAATCTTCTGCAGTTCTTTTAATTGGTTTTTTTAAGGCGATGTCCAAACTCGGCTGGGGTTTTCTCGAACATGAGCCTGATGGATATTTAGTCTTTTCAGCATCGAATTCGGTATTTATAAATGATAAAGCGTGATAAAAGTTCGCTTCATGGATCTTATTTCATTCCCTGCATCGTACAGGTATATAATTATCTTTTTCTTTGAACGGCTTTAAAAGGTAACGAATCCACTAATGTCAACGATAAATGTGATATATTCGAGGATGAAAACGGGTATATGAATTCTCTGAGGTATTCGCTAAGAATGCGGTGTTGAATTTTGTATGAACTGTACGTGGTTTGGTTCTGGATTTTGCCACATTTCATATAGAAATTGAAATCCGAAATATGTTCAATTAATCCCGAGATTAATTCATTCAAAACAATTATAGTTTTCACTTTTGACTGATGTTTTTTTTTTTCTTTTCGGCAAAATATTTGAATTAATATTTGTTTAAAAGATCTTATTAGGGGCAAAATGGTTGAGGTGAATTTGATTATCAATTTAGAATATCTGGATTGTATGATCTCAAGCAATCTCGAGATAATTTTCTACTCGATTTCCAAGTATGAGTACTATGATAGGTACATATTATAATGACATTTTGATGGAGAGCAACATATGGTGAATATCGAGTGGATCTCGGAGTGGATATCATGTGTCAGCGGTAGGAATAGATGAATTGAATTGAAATAATATTTAATCTATATACCTATTATTCTCGAACATTGTATAAAATAATAACATGCACAGACTTTTACCGAAGTTTCAATTAAAGCGACTATTTTCTATTTTTAACGTTCATGGAAAATAACATGTTCTATTTGGCATTTAGAGTTCTTTTTATTGCAAATGGCATTTCTATCAAGTGGCTATATGCCTCCAACAAAATTACAGACTCACCAGCGAATGTAGAAGTTTTAACCGAGGTTTTAATAAGTTCATATGAGTCAAAAAATGATTATAACTGTTTTAGAATAAGATTCTTGAGAATTGGCATAGCTATTTCCATAAATGAATCTACAAGTATAATCATGTTGATAATTTATAACAACACTGAGAACAACATTACAAAAAATAAACGAACCAGAAACGAACATATTAAGACGATAAATGCTTGTCAAAGATCAATAAACTGAATGAAAATAATTCATACGAACAGAGCTAATATAATAGCTAATAAGAATTTGAATAAGTCAACCGAGAAATCAACATTGTTTGTTGTTTGGATGCATCAGTATTAGTCGAGGTATTAGTACTCATTCGTATTATAGTAATTCGAGTAATTCGAACATATCGGTAGTCAATATTTCACAGTTAGCACGAATATTTTCTGAAACATATTTTGCAATCACAATACATTATGAATATTCAGCTAAGTACATAATACCTTAACTACCTCTATACTCACTATTTCTGACGGAGCAGAGTTCTTGATTAGGTTCAATACCTAATAGGTACCAATTGTTTTTTAATAACTCACGATCCCTTCAATAGATATCCATGTCCTGCTTATTTGATTATGTCCAAAAGGTTTATCAAGTTTTGAATTTTCTCGGTGTAAGCACAGAATAAATCCGATGGTTAGCCACAATATAGGTAGGTACCTACGATTTTCAGTCCTCTTGCGAGTATAGGTAGATACTATTGCCTACTGTACTTTTTGGAACAAAAAACTAACACCGACTAAAGGAACTCACCACTCACCTGAATTGAGGCTGCAATGCCGCTTATTTCAATTATATTTCGATATTTACCCAAGAAGTTCCTTCGGTTCCAGTTCCACAAGAAAAATTCTCTTGCAATCACTACATTATGAATATCATTTAACCAAGAGCACCTTACCATCAAGTTTTGAAATTTGTCGGTGTATGGAGTATTTAATATACCGGGTGACACAGACTGATTTTTGTTTATTTGAAGAGATAAAAATTTTAAATTTACAAGGGTTATATGATCAATGATGGCGCTTCCCTTGAACCCAATGACAATTTTGTTAAACCACCTGTTTGATCGGAAGTAGACCCAACTTTTTTTCTTAAAATGGGACCCTGTTTATTTCTGTAGCCTATCTTATTAACCTTAAAATTTTCTATTCAACTATGTATCACAATTTGATATTATTCCATTTTATTGAAATACATGAAGTTGTCTGTGGCCCGAATACAATAACAATTCGATACTTGATAGGCTCAGAAATACAAGGATCATTACTAAAACGATATCAGCAAAATATTTTTCATATCCTTATCGGTCCCAGAAGATTGTAATTCAACTCGTAATTCAATGAATAACTGTCAAACTACTATACTAGACACTTTGTGTAAACCGCCTACTACGCGAAATGATACTGAAAATACACGAATGTAGACTTATCAACAGATGTATTAGGACGATACATCAATTATTACAACAATTTCAGTTCCAAATCCAAATGGATGATAATATTATTGCTACATGGCAAAAATGAAAGAAATAGTTTCTTCACAAGTAGCTAAATATCTTAGTTTTCTCAATATCGTGAGCTATTTTCGGTTGATTTTTCAAAACTCGATGAAATTATTGGCAATCTTCTGGGACCCATAAGGGTATGGAAAATATTCTGAAAATATCGTCTAGATCTTTCGATTTCTGAGCTTATCAAGCATCGAAATGTCATTGTATTCGGGCCACAGCCAACTTCATGTATTTCAATAAAATGCAATTCAACAGCCATTAATTAAACGAATATCAAATTGTGATACATATTTAAATAAAGAAATACTGTCTGTAGATAACAACCAGAAGAGAAAAATCAAGGAATCTGCTTGCATTCTTCTGAACGGAGACAATAGCATTGCTTCTTGTTCAGATGATATAGACAAAACATGGTATTCACTACTAAAATCTGAACATGAAAATGGTAAATTCAAGATTAATTAATGAAAACATCCTGTAACTCATTTGATTGCCAACGTCACCAATTGTCATTGAAAACTGAAAAGCTTCAAGACATATTATATACGACTTCGCTATTGAAATAATCTCTTCTCATGTTGAAAACGGGAGCAGAATCGGTCCCGAAACGTCCAAATATAAGTGAAAATTTGATATTTTTTCTATATACCTTTATTTCTCTTCTCCAAAATTTTTTCAATACAAATTGTCACTGACAAGCAAGTGAATTTTTCTTAAAGGTTCTCTGATGGGAAAATTCTTTAAACGCAGTGACATTTTGGGGCAAATCATCTGATTTGTCCTTACTACACGTATATTGAATTAATATTCATATTTTTATTTTATAGAAACGAGGAGAGAAAATCCCAAAAAATTTGGAATAATGAATTCAAATAGAGAATTTAAAGGCAAATGAGATAGGCTACAAAAATATACAGGGTGCCAGTTGAAAGAAAAAAGTTAGGTACTAGTTCCAAACAAACAGGTGCTTGAAGAAAATTGTCATTGGGTTCCAGGGAATCGCCATCATCGATTATATCACCCTTGTGAATTTCAAATTTTTATCTCTTCAAATAAAAAAACTACAGGGTGTTACATGTCTCCTGTGTCGCCCGGTATATTATAGAATCCTCTGCTGGTTAGCCCCAATATCCGACCTCAACGTCTTTAGCAGAATTCAATCTTGAGTTATTGTACACATTGCAAAAATACCCATAGGTATTCATCGAGTATTCACGAGGGTATTATTTATTGTACTATTTGAAGCAAAATATATAAATCCGACTACAAGAACTCACCTGAAATGATGCTGCACTGCGTATGACAATGATAATCTCCAAGAATTCCTTCAGTTCCAGTTCCACATGAAAAAATCACTTTGAAAATCTCGCGCGATACAAATGTCACACGTTGTTCGACCGATTTGCACCGAAGCAACACCAACCTACTCCAAACGACTGCTCGCAACTGACTGATGCCACTGATGCCGCCGTGTGGGTCCCTGCGTCGGATATTGGGTCCCTACGTCCGACGCCTGGTGTCGGGCGTCGTGACGCTCAAGGGCGTAGATAGAAGGAGGGGGAAGGGGGGAAGGAAAGGGAATTACCATCACAAACTTCAGGTTCGTTCTTAGGGAAATAATTGTTCTAAGAAAATTAGACCTGTGGGCTATGAATTCCCAAGCTAAACACTATTTCAACTCAATTCAACTCTGCGTGAATGGAGAAAAATCTATGATATTAAATTTCTGGTCAAATCCAATGGTTACATCTCAAAACAGCTCTGTGAAATATCTAGGAATTCACATGGACAATAAATTAGCTTGGACAATACATGTTATAGACAAACTAGGTAGCAAACTTGCGAGCATTGTATTCCTCCTGAAGAATTTAACTAGCATGCTAGACAAAGAGCACGTGGTTATGGCCTATCATGCTCCTTTACACAGTATAATGTCATATGGCATTCTACTGTGGGGTAATTCATCACACGCAAATCAAATACTATTATTACAAAAACGAGCCGTGCGTGCTATTTCAAAATCAAATTACACAGAACCTTGCAGAGCCTTGTTCAAGGGGCTTGGTATTTTAACATTTACAAATAAATATATTTTTCCTCCGATTGGCAGCAAATATTAATTTTGCTGACACATATCGATCAGCAAAGTATTACTTTTCCTGCCTAGGCAGCAAAGTGGGTACTTTGCTGCCTAGGCAGCAAAGTGGTTACTTTGCTGATTGATATGTATCAGCAAAATTAAAAATCCATAAATCGTTTATAATTTCCTTCATATTCCATCCGAGACTTCTCCGGCAACAAATTCAACTCTATATTTTTTGCCACCTCCCTTATTAATGGAGGTGTAAGTATACTTCCAGGTCGCTATCACTGTCCATTATATACTAATTTAAATACACCGATATTTGTTCGCACAACTGTCAGAAATTTCATGAATTGTCAAACCAACAACTGCGATTTCTATCAAATTTTATTTTAATTGAACACTATACAGGAAGAATAAAGAGATTGTGGGAATTGTATTAATTCGCAAATACAATATTCTCCTATATCATTATGAACAATCGGAGAAAAAATTATATGCTCAACTCGGCAGCAAAGTAGATTGACTGCCTTAGCTGGATTCCTAGCCTCGCTACGCTCGGCTATGAATTCAGCCACGGCAGTCAATCTACTACTTTGCTGCCTAGTTAAACAAATAACTATTGGAAGCTCTAGAATATGCAATAGACCAATCATGATTACAGAGACAAGACAGGTATGAAACAAGACATAGACCCTATCAACTGCCACTTTTTAGACTCAATAAAAGCTTAAAATCCTACAAATACCAATCATTTAAATGTTTTAACAGTCCACCAAAAGAATGGAGGGAATTAAACTTGGAAAAGTTTGTGAATCATTGTAAGAATTTTCTGAGAGCAAATGTGTTCTACAACATCGAGGTATTTTATAAACATTTCAATGTATGCTTTTAGAATATTATTATGTCCTGTGTATGTGAGTGATTTGAAATATGTCTGAATTTTATATTTCACTGAACATTACAGGATATCCCTTTTCGTGGGAACCAGAACATAAAAAAAAATAGTTTTTATATCAAAGTATTTTTCCGAAAATCATGACTGTGTTATTACGGAATCGCTCCTGCTGTATAATGAGTTACTATTTGACTAAATACCTGTATATGCACCATGGTTTTTTATAAAATTAGAATTAAATAAATACAGGAAGCTTAAAGTCATTTCCACACAATGTTCATAAAATGAACAACAATGGTAGATTTATGGAGAAAAACAACTACTTTCCTGGCTAATTATATCCTCCCGACATCTATGCATCGACTCGTATAAACGAATACGGATACAAGTGATTCTTTCCTGACTGATTTCGATTTACCCAGGCCACGCTAGACACCTACTGACCGGTTTCGAGCTCTTTGACTTTCATCAGTGTAGGGCAGTCTCCAGCCAGCGTTCTCAAGACTCAAGCGTAGCCTAGTCAAACAAAAATCAAGTCGGCATTATATTCCCTCAGACTTTGAGCTTTTTGTACTTATTTAAAATTTCATTCGACTTTGAGCATTGCGGCTATTGCCTAGTTAAATAAGATTTGTTCTTTGTTTATTCTCACAAATCGAACGTAAAACGGATATACAGAAACAAGTTTCATTTTCGAGATACCCTTCAGCAAAATGAAGTATCCACGCTGTAGATGACGCCGACGCGTTGCGTGGTCGTCGCGACGCCTCGGTCGTAATTTTGATGCGATACAGGTAGCTGATACACAATTTAATTAGCCACGTCGGAGGTAGGCAGTTGTTTGATTTTAATTCGGTTAAGGTGGGAAAGCGGCAAAATAAACGAAAGGATTGTCTCGGCGAGACATCGTGTTTGCTTAGTCAACAGCGAAAAACCATTGAATCACATAGGATTCGATAATCTTTTGTAGTCTACTAGGTGTGATCAAGGAATCTGCCGTATTATTCATTTCACCCTGTATAGCGTATCTCTGCCATATTTTTATAGCCTTACCTACTGTACTAGGTTCAGTGTTCTTTTCGTTTTATGTAAAGGGTGTCTACACCTTTTTCAATTGTAATTCAGAAAGCGTAAATTGTAATTCAGATTCCTCAAATGGAATTCAGAAAGTGTCAATTGTTATCCAGATTAGCCAATTGAAATTCAGAAAATATCAATTGCAATTCAAATAAGTCGAGTGAAATTCAGAAAACTTCAGTTGTAAATCAGATTTTTCAATTGGAAAGCGTAAAATTCATAGAGCCCCTAACCATTAACCTAACATAAACATAAACAATGCACTCGCGTTTGCCCGCAATTCGCGAAGCGACACGACAAACACGTGCTATTCGGGCGTATTCGGGCATTTGCATTGCGCGCGTAGGTTGCGCTATGTGACGGAGTCTAGCCTCCTATACATGTTGCCAAGTTGAACATTTTACGCGTGATTTGCAGACTCCAACGTGTGATGCGTGGGCAAGCACTGTTGCCAATTCAAAAATATAAAATTCAAACTAAAAACAGGAAATAAAATCAAAATCAGAAAGTATTGATAATATTAGTTTAATGAAAATCTCTGAGGAGGCTCAGCCTCCGTTCCCTCCTCTGAGGAGCCGCCACTGTTAACAAGTTATTATTTAATGATACTCATTTAATATCACTATGATTATATTCACTATGTTGTACATTGCCATCAATAAATTGAATGGAATTGTATTGAATTGAATTGAACGATCCAGTGTCCTATAGCACTGATATGGAAATCATATGAATATAGGTAATCTGGAATTCAAATTTATTTTGATATATCCAGTAGTTCCCCCCGACTCTGGAAGTAATTAAGATTCACTCTGTGATATTGTTCACATTGCTCGAATTAAGAGGCAGGAGTCGAGATAAATTAGGAATAAGAAAGTGTGTTTTATTGTTGGCTCCCTTATTTTTAATTATGCCGGGTTCGCCCCTAGCAACGAGTTCCGGATATTAATACGGAGATTTTTCCTTAAATGCGAGTCTTGTGTTTTGCTGTTGGAAGCGGATTATCTGAAATATATTTTCATTCCTCTGCCATAATGAGTAGAAAGCTTCAGATGGGAAACTAACTGCTGAAAAGCGTTTTCCAGAATTAAGAGGCTGATTAGCTTTTGTTCTGGGCATGCAGGCAAATTGGGTGTGGAAGTGCTGGGGAATAATGGGGGAAGACTGAAGAAAACCGCGATACAAAGTTGAAAAATGAACTATTTTCTCGAATCACAAACCGAAAACTCAATGAAGCATCCGAAAGCTGCATTATTTCTTCGAATTCCATCGCAAAAAATGGTAATTTACTATACAAGTCCAGGAAATATTGTTTTTTAGACAAGTCCAAAATAGTAGATTACCTAACATTGCGGAAAGTCACTTTACGCATTGTTGGGTACACTAATTTTTCAACTAGTGTGCGGAAAAAACAACACAAATAACATTTATTATCATTATTAGATATTAAAATGTCAGTATACTCCCCAAAAGTTTTACAAAATCACACTAGTGCGGGAAAGTAACTCTTCCAACACTAAAATGGATGCAGAAAGGTGTTTTTTTCTGCACGCTAGAGAATGAACATTTTCTAGGCATGTTCCGTGTACTATTTTTTTAGCAACCTCTTTTGGGATATTTCTTTCTAGAATAATATTAGGAACAATCTTATTCTACTTTTCTTTTTCTTTTTCTTCTATTTTTTTTTAGATTTCCTCTCCTGCTTCTCATGAATAAAAATATGAGTCATTTCAATATAGGTACGTGCGCGCGTAATAATATATCGCTATTTTGTTGATCGTTCTTCTGTATGTTTTATTGCCCACTATATCCACTAAAGCCGAAATGCATCAGCTTCCTCCTACTCTTGGTGATACATCTGTCAGTGGTTCCGTTGACTCACTCGCTGTTTCGTTGATCGTTCTTTTGTATGTTCTATTGCTCACTGTATCCACTATAAGGCCGGAATGCATCAACTTCCTCCTACTCTTGGCTATACATGTGTCAGGGGTTCCGTTGACTCACTCGCTGTTTTGATCATCGTTCTTCTGATGTATGTTTTAATGCCTACTGTATCTACTATAAGGCCGGAATGCATCAGCTTCCTCCTACTCTTGGCGATACATCTGTCAGTGGTTCCGTTGACCCACTCGCTGTTTCGTTGATCGTTCTTCTGTATGTTCTCAACTATTGGCGATACATCTGTCAGTGGTTCCGTTGACTCACTCGCTGTTTTGTTGATCGTTCTTCTGTATGTTCTATTGCCCACAGAATCTACTATAAGCACCGAACATAACTGTTTATGTTCGGTGCTATAAGGCCGGAATGCATCAGCTTCCTCCTACTCATGGCTATACATCTGTCAGGGGTTCCGTTGACTCACTCGCTGTTTTGATCATCTTTCTTCTGATGTAA